CTTTAGTTTCCCTATAGCTTGGCCGCGCTGTGGCGAACCAAGCGGAATGTGCACCGGGAATGGATCGAAAATAACCTATCCATTGCAGCCTTTGATCTTTAATGGTTTCAGTTTCATGGTCCAACCGACCAACATGGAAGAACTGTGGACAGGACCGCTAACTGAAATGGAACCCTACCACTGCACAATCCCACGCAGGTGCTTTCAAGAGGAAAGCTCACCACCTTCTTCGTGAACGACTTGATGAAGTGTTTCTAAGCACTAACTGGTTACACCAATGATTTTCCCTGGGAAATCAGCTATGTCTGCCAAACGAGGCTTGCTCATTCGATTGGCGCTGGCTATTGCAGTGTGAAGCACTCGCGGTTTGTGGGTGAAGTCTATGACTCGGACCTGATTACGCCCCTCTGTTTGCGTCCCAATTTGATATTTTTTCTAGTGTTCTATAGCATGTTTACTAGTTCCTGCGGCATTCTGCGCCGGCCAACCCACCAACATACCACGAGGTCAGGGCGAGAGCGTGGTCTTCATGAGAGGGCCGCGCGCGCGGGGGCGTCTCTCCCAGTGCCCATCCACTGGATCAATGTCCCCATGAAAATCAACCCGGAGTCGGACTCTTTCCATTTTGTGAAATGGCCTATGCTACTTCCTCAAGATTTTGTGTTTTGGCTCAAAGGAAATTTTTCTTACAAACGGGATCGACCAAAAACCAAACAGAGTGCAACCAATTGTGGGCCAATGTTTTCCCAGGCTGCTACTTTGGTCAAGGAAGGTTACCTGGCGGCTTGGGTTGGTGACCTTGGTGAATTACCTGGTTACTGGCGCGGAATGCCCCAAGATTACCCTGACCATATAGTGCGAGAGTCTGACCCCAACTTACGGGCAAGCATTGGCTGCACACTCTATGGAGCCCTGCAATTTTTTCAAGGGTATTGTATGATGACTTTTTTGATTCCCCGACATAGGAAGCCAAATTTAATGGGTGCTGTCTGTTTGCTATGTTTTCTGCTCACAACAAGAAAAGGAGACGAAGTAGATTGCCTTGGGGACAGCTGGATGTTCCTTCTTTGGAGTTCAGATACGTCTAAATGCCAGACACATTCTCCCAGCTCTCGGTGGCCTATATGCATACTGCCAGCATCACTTTATGTCTATTCGGAGTCAGGGGTGAACTTGACACTGGAGGCGGCTACCCAGGCCATCACCCGATCCTTCAATGCCTTGTCGACTGAAGGCATTGCAATTCAAGAGCTGCAGTCCCTGGGAGGTGAGATTGTGCCTTTGATTGGTGGTGTGATCAATTTTGGTGGTGGTTTTCCAAAACTCCCCATGTTGGTTTTCCAAGAGTTTGATCATGGAACCAAAAAAGCATTTCTAAGGTTGGACGCATACGACTGTATTGCATGGGATTTCGTGGTGACTGGAAAGCTCTTGCTGCCCTATTCAACATGGTCAGAAATTACAACAGGAATAAGGCCCAAAGTTGGTGTTATGTTTAAAATATGTCAAAAAAAACAACGCCCTGATGCTAGATTTTTTTGTATCAAAAAAACCCTGCAGATCTGCTGGCTTTGCGAAGCGAGCAAAGGCATGGAAGATGACCTTCATATGTGCATGACGCACGTCGCTGATGATGCCTTGTGGTGGCAAACAATGCTACAGTCAGAGCCGTGGAACACTAGCCCGCCTTTCTCCAGACTCATCAATTTCAGGCTTTCCATGATTGTTCCAGATCTTCTGCATTGCTGGAATCTAGGTGTATCAAGGCACATGCTGGCCAGCTGCTTGAAAATCCTATTATCTGACCAGATCGTCTTCCCAGCTCCCACGCTGCCTGGACGATTGAAGATGGCGTCTGAGAGCTTGCTGGCCTTTGCCAGGCGGCACCGCTATCCCCTGAGGATGAAAAAAATCACGAAGAATAAGCTGAAATGGAAAGCTAGGCGCTACCCCGAATTAGCTTCTAGTGGGTACGATGCCTTCGTTGTTGGAACATGGTTAGAACAAACCCTGACTCCTCACAATCATCATTACCCAGAAATTGCGACATTGCTTTGGAGCAGCAACAAGGGCATCAGCCTGTTGTATTCGGCGGGGGCTTTTTTGACCACGGGAGAGAAACAATCTGTGAAAGTATATGGTGACATTTTTCTGCAAACTTATGTGACCTTAGCTGGGCGAGCTCTGAATGAGCACAAACTTCTTTTCAGAGTCATCCCAAAGTTGCACTTGATGTCCCACATTTTCAATTGGAAGCGGTCTGTGAACCCTTCCCGCTACAGCACTTGGATGGACGAAGACTATTTAAAGAAAATTGGGAAAACTCTGGGTTTGACTCAGCAGAAGACTGCGCAACAGAGACTGCTACAACGGTGGCTTCTTTCGATCCCCAATCATCTTAAAAGGAATTTGGGGTGATTTATTTTCGGATTGGGTGCGCCATATGGTGCATGCAGCGAACTGTGGGGATGTCGCTGCGAAAAAGATCTTGGGATCCCTGCATATGTTTCAGCTGTGCGCATGCCGATCATGTGGCAAAACGAAATCTGATTGACAATTGAAACTGTTTTTTTTCTACGTCTACCGCTGACCTCGAGATTAGTTGCTGTGTTGGTACTTAAACAAAATGGCCCATGCCATAAAAGGAAATATTGCACCTCTCCTGAAAACAGAGATAACTCCAGCAGCTGCACTGCCATGCTGTGAACTGAGCCAGTCTGGGCATCCAAGAGCATTTGCATATGGTTTGATGAACCAATAGAGTTTTAGGACATTTCCCAATTTGTTTCCCTTTCATGCTCTGTTTGCGTCATTATCCCACACCAACATCTAGGTGTTCATACAGCACTAAAACCATAGTTTATATTCCAACTTTAGTTGTGGAAGAATATCCTTACAAGATCCCAAAGACACACACACATATATATATATATATACCAGAGGAATTTTAGGTTGAAAATTTCCGAGTTATGGACGAATGTTCAGGGGCACTCCTGTGACAACCGCAAAGTGAGCAAAAGCAGTTCGAGTGCGGGAGTAGCGGAGGGTAACAGAATTCGCGAGCGCGTGAATTCACGGGTGAAAACATTTTTCGGGTGCGAACCCTGTGTTTCTGGGGTCGCCGAAGTAGGGTTTCTGTTTCTGCGGTTGACGCTTGAAAAATTTTGAGCGCCGCGAAAACCGTGAAAACCGTGGAAATTCGCACCGAGGAGCGTGAAAATCACGAAAAACGTGAGAATTCACACCCTGGAGCTTGGAAGACCACGAAAAACGTGAAAATTCACACCCTGGAGCGTGAAAAACGTGAAAACGTGAAAATTCACACCCTGGAGCGTGAAAAACGTGAAAACGTGAAAATTCACACCCTGGAGCGTGAAAAACGTGAAAACGTGAAAATTCACACCCTGGAGCGTGAAAAACGTGAAAACGTGAAAATTCACACCCTGGAGCGTGAAAAACATGAAAACGTGAAAATTCACATCCTGGAGGATGAAAAAACGTGAAAATTCACATCTGCAAGCGTGAAAACACCATATGGCTTCGAAAAAGTGATTTGGACTCCGAAATGCAAAAACGAGGTCCTGGGCGGTATGGCTTCGGTTTTCGAAGCCGAATGGTTCCCTAGGTCAGGTGTATTGCTTGCTTTCGACGTTGCTCCAACGAGGTGATGTTGCACTAAAGTATGCCATTTATGACAACGCTTGTGCCTTGGCTCGCTACGCTCGCCACCCATTGCGTCGTGACAGAACGCCGGCAGCTTCGGCGATCGCTGCACTCACCTTCGTTATAGACAGCTTTCACGTGGCAAACCACACCGCCTGCATCACCGAGGGCCACGATTTCTTCTTGCCTGAAGTTCGACGTGAGAGGCATCCCCAGCTCGCTGCAGTCAACACACAGACCGCAGAACAATTCTTCTCTTGGGCAGACCCCTTTGTACGATCCACTGCTTCTATGACACCATCTGTCTTCCAGGCCTTTGTCCTCATCCTCGTGCACCTCTACAATTCCATTGCCTGCGGTGACTCGGCAGCCCAACTCCGGCGTCGACCAAACCGTCGTCGCAACGCTCCAGCTGCTGCTGCGCCTTTGCGTCCTAGAGTTCGTGCTTCTGAGAATGAGCCTGGGCACGTTGCTGCGGCGCCCCCAGCCCCGGCGGTCGTTTTGCGGTTTCGCCGCAATCCACATGGGGTCGGGCTTTGGGGCGCTGGCAAGTATCACTGGAGCCCGGATCCAGCTGCCCGACGACCCCCTTGCAACATTGTCGCGTTCGAAACATTGCCCGAAACCATTGCGGTCGTGGCAGAGGACATTGACTTTTTGCCGGACGTTGGCTTCATCCTGCATTTCGCCGGTGCACGGCATCAGGTCTGTCGCACCTGTGCTTTCGCCGCGCGACACGCTGGTCTTCTAGTTGACTGAGTTCAGGTTCCCTCTGCCTTAATTTGTGCACACGACGCCAAGAGAGCGTCTTCACTTTTGCTTTTCCAATTTCAGCGCCTTTCCGCTCGTGGGCCAGATTCTGCGGTGTGGAACTGCTGCTTGCCCTGCGTGATGCCACAAGCGTGTCAGCAGGTTCCTTAGCGGTGTTACGCCAGACTTTTGCTGCGCGCGGCTCCATGTTGCAAATGTGCCGGCATGCATGCTGTCATGCGTTGATTGCTGTGCAAGCCTTCGGATTCATTCCTTTAGCCACGCCCTGCGTGGTCGAAAGCACCAACAGACTGGTCTTGCTGCTTCAGAAGAGTCAGAGCTAGGTGCATCTGTGACCCCATAGTGAACTGTGTCGACTGCCGGCTGCCCACATCCTTGGTGTCGATTCCGTCGTCCGCATCTTCGCCTCTTTCTGTGCTTGCTTCACTTCGTTGCCATTGCTGGTTTCAACCCTTTTCATGCACCATTCCGAAATTCCCGTTGCTTCTCTCCCTCCAGTTTTCTGCGCCGCCTTTTCAGCCCTTGCATTCCGCTGCATCTCGCTTGCGCTCCTGTTCTCGCCCGCCATGCCAGCTGCTTCGCGCGAAGCCAGTGCCGGTGCCGCTGCCGCGCTGCCGTCCGGGGAGAAGGTCGATGAATTTTTCCAGTTGCTCGAACAGAGGCTTCCTTTCCCAACGCAGGCTTTGGAACGTTTGGTGCGGCCAGAGCTGCTGCAGCACTGGAAGGACCTCGGCGCAACACAGAGCGTAGCCTGGCCCTGGGTGATGATCTGCGAGCTTTCATTGGTGAGCTTTCTGACGCCCAATGCTCGGTTTCAGCCACTCCCGAGCTTCTCAGTGTACTCTTTGACATGGACGTTTTTCTTACATCCCGGCAGCTGCCACACGTCCAACCTCCTTCGCTTGTACCACAATGTCCTTCACGGCTTGGAGGAAAAAGCCAATGAGGACCGGAAGGCCATGCGCACACGACTCCGCCAACATGCCATGCCAGGTGCGCAGGGGCAGGCTGCACTGAAAGAACGCTTGAAAAAGCTGCAAGACATTACCTTTCGCCTGGGCACTGGGTCGCTTGAGGGCATCGGTCTGCGCATTGCATCCTTCCTGGGCTGGACTGCGGCGAGCGGCTACTTGGTAGAAGGCACCCAGTTTCTGCAATGGTTGCAAGCCGAATTCGGCGTAAACAAGGCCATTGCGACCCAGCTGTGGGAACGCATGTCTTGGCAACGAGACGTCATCAACCTGCAAAGGTCCTTCTCAATGCCATACCCATTTCTGGGGGTGTGTGGGGCCCTCCACCTGGAGGACATTTGGCCCCTTTACACCCATGCGGATCCACTGGGCCTCCGCGGACGCCTCTGTCTTTTTTACAGCCGGCCAGTCATGAAGCGAGCTCGAGAGATTGAGGCGGCGAATGCGCGCTTGGGCAATGAAGGCGGTGGCAACCGCCTGGAGAGCCTCTTAGTGGACCGCTTTTACCGAGTGTATCAAGCACACGCCACAGAGCACCGGGATGAGCTGATCTTCTCCTATCATCTGGGGTACCCCTTTGTCAACTACACGTTTGCCCCCGACAACGAGAATGAGGCAAAGCAGCTCTTCGTGAAGCACTTCGACCACCATGCGACCCTCCAGGAAGAGAACTACCTCGTTCAGCATGAAGCTTCAAAACGGCACGGAAAACTCAAGGGCAAACATCTCCGCCTGGCTTTGAACTGGGCGAACCTCCAGTCGGCATTTGCCGGCGTGGAGCCAACAGCTTGGCCCACGCAAATCCCTGCCTCCGCAATGCAGGCGGCTGAGCTGCTAGGGCGATATTGCGAGGGCGTCACAGACACCATCTACGAGTTCCTCGATCGCAGCAGGCCCGCTCCAGACCAACAAGTCCCAGGCGCCGCCCCCAAAGAAGAGCGCGGCCAGGTGGGCAGGATGCAGCGGTTGCTGCACATGACTTTGGAGCAGCTTCTGCAGCAATACCCTGCAGCCGCTAACCCTCACCTCCAGGGGTTTCTTTGCTTGCTGCTGAAGATGCAGACCGTTTGGCTGGACTCCACCCTTCTGCGGTCGCACTGCTTCGTCCGCGATAGCTTGCCCCAGGGTTCGGCTGAAGCAAAAGCGCAGTTGGTGATGGTTGGCTTGGCCATGCTGGCCAAGCTCCAGCTTGCAACGGCCGCCTTGTCTACCAACATCAATGGTCCACGCAAGTTACTTGCAGTGAAGCGGTCTGTTCCCCGTGACCATCCCCACTACCCATCTCTTCGCGCATTTCTGGCTTTCTTTGACGTGCCTGAGCAGGAGTACCGCGCACCAGAGGCAGAGGAGATCACGGTCTCCCCGCCGAACGCGGCTCCTATCATCGCCTTCCCTGATTTTGAGCCTGCGGCTGCTGCAACTGCATTGGCTGCATTGCGTACCTGGGCTGCTGCCGCTCCTGCCGCATGAGTGAAGCTTCTTGCATGATCCCTTTTTCAAACCACTGCCTCCAGCAGCAACAACACGCTCGCCGCAGCTCCGTTGCGGCGAGCCTCCTCGCTGCACGGGCACCCCGAGCCGCCGGTCACAAGCACGGCCTCAGTGCTATACTTTTCGCTGCGCATTGAAAAAAAAGCAGCCTTGGCGTCTCGCCTGGAACGTTACGCTTGTTGTGGCTACTCTTATTGCTCTGGTGTTTCTGTTTGCCCTGGTTGGTGGGTTTTCGTTTCTTTGTTCATCTTCCCTTTTGCTTCTTCGTTCCTGTTCTTCTTTCCCTTGCTGCTGTTGTTCCACTTTTATCTTCCTCGTCGTCGTTGTTTTCTCTGCTTCCCCCTTTTGCTGGTTCTTCCCTCCAATCGCACCGTTGCAGGCCAGTTGTGACTACGCAGACTTGTGCCTTGGCAGTTTCGGCGACGGCTGTGTGTGCCGTATGGTACCCTAGAGAGAGATTATTTTTTTGTATTTCGGTCTGTTTTCGGTCTGTATATATGTATGTCTGTCTGTCTCTCTCTCTGTACGTATGTATGTCTTTCTGCCTCCATGTCTCTATGTCTTCATGCGATTTCATGCATGTAATATGTCTGTCTTTCTCTCTGTACGGATGTATGTCTGTATGTCTGTCTGTATGTATGTATGTGTGTATATCTGTATGTATCTCTGTCTGTCTGTCTGTCTGTCTGTCTGTCTGTCTGTCTGTATATCTGTCTGCATGTATGTATGTCTGTATGTATGTCTGTATGTATGTATGTCTGTCTGTATGTATCTATGTCTGTGTGTCTGTCTATCTGTATGTATGTATGTGTATGTATGCGTGTCTGTCTGTCTGTATGTATGTATGTATGTCTCTATGTCTCTATGTATGTCTGTCTGTCTGTCTTCAGCGGCTTCATCCAGATGCTGGCTGATCTGCATGGCACTGCCGCTGATCGAGAGAATGATTGCTACAGGTTTGAGCACCATTGGCTGCTGCTGGAGGTTTTGACCGTGCTCTGGACACACTCACCCAGTGTTGTGCAGACAACGTGGTGGCCGCTTGATATGTATGTATGTATGTAAGTATGTATGTATGTATGTCTGTCTGTATGTATGTATGTATGTATGTATGTATCTATGTATGTATGTATGTATGTATGTATGTATGTGTATGTCTGTGCGTCATGTATGTATGTATGTCTGTATGTATGTATGTCTGTATGTAATGTATGTATGTATGTCTGTATGTATGTAAGTATGTCTGTATGTATGTCTGTATGTATGTATGTATGGTTGTAATCTACCCACATGCTCAGCAGGATCCCAGCACCTCCCAAGCTCCGCAAGACTTGGCGCGCCGCTGGCCTGCAGGTGACAACAAAATTTTTCTCCCCGACCAGTTAGATCCGAACCGGACAAAGATCTGCATCAATGGCAAGGCGCGGCCAGCACCGGCTGAGGGTATAGGGTGTTTCCCGGAACCAGGCGGGATCTCGCGATTAGAAGGAGCCCTCTTCCGGGCATATAGACTGAGAATGTGGGGGCCCCCAAGTTGGCCTATAAGGACGAGAGACGTTAGTTTCAAGGACCGCAAACCCTAATGTCTGGGAGTTGGTGGCCAAGCTCAATCCAAAGGAATCCTACCGGACATGCAGGCCAGAGGTATAATACTCACTTGTACCGCCAAAATTTTCTCACTTGTACCTCCTACTCACTTGCGCCTCCACTACTCACTTGCGCCTCCGAACTTCTCACTTGCGCCTCCGACCTGCTCACTTGCGCCTCCAGCTCCTTGTCACTTACGCCTCACTACTTTCCCACTTGCGCCTGCTCTACAATCTTGCTTTTGATTGAAAATGTCTACTCTCTTTCTTTCCACAATGCCATGATCTTAAACCTGGCTTGTTATTTAAACTTCCTCCCCCCTTGCTTTCCACAATGCCATCATCTGGAATCGAACTCTTTATTTCAACTTCCCCCCCCTTGCCTTCCACAATGCCATCATCTTAAATCAAATTCTTTGTTTCAACTTCCCCCCCCTTGCCTTCCACAATGCCAGAAACTAAAATATGACTCTTTATTTAAACTTCCCCCCCCTTGCCCTCCACAATGCCATGATCTAACAACCTAAACTCTTTATTGAAACTTCCCCAGACTTCCACAATGCCATTCATCCTTAAATTTAACTCGTTATTTAAAACTTCCCCCCTGGCCTTCCACAATGCCATCATCTTAAATCTAACTCTTTGTTTAAACTTCCCCCCCTTGCCTTCCACAATGCCATGAACTAAAATATGACTCTTTATTTAAACTTTCCCCCTCCTTGCCCTCCAGAATGCCATCATCTAAAACCTAACTCTTTATTTAAACTTCCCCCCCCTTGCCTTCCTCAATGCCATCATCTCAAATCAACTCTTTATTTAAACTTCCCCCCCCTTGCCTTCCACAATGCCACGATCTGAAATCTAACTCTTTATTTAAACTTCCCCCCCCTTGCCTTCCACAATGCCATCATCTAACATCTAACTCTTTATTTAAACTGTCCCCCCCCTTGCCTTCCACAATGCCATGATCTAAAATCTAACTCTTTATTTAAACTTCCCCCCCCTTGCCTTCCACAATGCCAGCATCTAAATTCGAACTCTTTATTTAAACTTCCCCCCCTTGCCTTCAACAATGCCATGATCTAAAATCCAACTCTTTATTTAAACTTCCCCCCCCTTGCCTTCCACAATGCCACGATCTGAAATCTAACTCTGTATTTAAACTTTCCCCCCCTTGCCTTCCACAATGCCATCATCTAACATCTAACTCTTTATTTAAACTCCCCCCCTTGCCTTCCACAATGCCATGGTCTAAAAGCTAGCTCTTTATTTAAACTTCCCCCCCTTGCCTTCCACAATGCCATCATCTTAAAGTTAACTCTTTATTTAAACTTCATACCCCCTTGCCTTCCACAATGCCATCATCTGAAATCTAACTCTTTGTTTAAACTTCCCCCCCTTGCCTTCCACAATGCCATGAACTAAAATATGACTCTTTATTTAAACTTTCCCCCTCCTTGCCCTCCAGAATGCCATCATCTAAAACCTAACTCTTTATTTAAACTTCCCCCCCCTTGCCTTCCTCAATGCCATCATCTCAAATCTAACTCTTTATTTAAACTTCCCCCCCCTTGCCTTCCACAATGCCATCATCTTAAATCCAACTCTTTATTTAAACATTTTCCCCCCTGGCCTTCGACAATGCCATCATCTTAAATCTAACTCTTTATTTAAACCTTCCCCCCCCCTTGCCTTCCACAATGCCATCATCTAAAACCAAACTCATTATTTAAACTTCCCCCCCCTTGCCTTTCTCAATGCCATCATCTTAAATAGTCATTAAAAAATATAGAAAAATGATGATACACCGATTATTTCTTCTTCCATCATTTTCACACGATGCCTTGAACGGACTGGATATTCTTTCGCGCTGGGATAGACCTTCAAGCATTGCGCTCGATGCCTTCTGCTTTCTCTTAAAATATGTTGTTCTGTTCTTGTGCAATCCCAATCTTTCTAAGATTTTATCAAGTTCCGCCTCTTTTTTTACTTCTAATGCAACCGCTATGCCAAGGTGGCCCCCCAATTCAAAGTTGTGTCTACAAAAACAATTAACTATATCCCGAGAAGATATATATATATATATATATGCATATGTATTTCTTAACTATATGTATGTATGTATATATATATATTGAATAGATATACAAATATATATATTATATATATTTAGATGTATATATATATATATAAATAGATATATATATATTGATACTAAGGTAATTAGTCTGGTACATGGTGGTAGTAGTAGTAGTCGTAGTAGTCGTAGTAGTCGTAGTAGTAGTAGTAGTAGTAGAAGTAGTAGTAGTAGTAGTAGAAGTAGAAGTAGTAGTAGTACTAGTAGTAGAAGTAGTAGTAGTAGAAGTAGTTGTAGTAGTCGTAGTAGTCGTAGTAGTCGTAGTAGCCGTAGTAGTCGTAGTAGTCGTAGTAGTCGTAGTAGTCGTAGTAGTCGTAGTAGTCGTAGTAGTCGTAGTAGTAGTAGTAGAAGTAGTAGTAGTAGTAGTAGAAGTAGAAGTAGTAGTAGTAGCAGTAGTAGTAGTAGTAGAAGTAGTAGTAGTAGTAGTAGTAGAAGTAGAAGTAGTAGTAGTAGTAGAAGTAGTAGTAGTAGTAGTGGTAACTATAAGCGAGGTAGAAGCGAGAAAAAAACGGAGGTACAAGCGAGAAAATTTTGGAGGTACAAGCGAGGGGCCGACCCCCGACCAGTATGTAAAGGTTGAAATACATCTCGCGGTTCTCCTGACAGCATTTCTTCAAAAACAAGCAGTCATTGGGATCAAGCAAACCCAAGCATAACCAATAATAATTGTCAACAAATAAATACAAGTAATGCTTTACTTATCAGAAAAAATACGAACATGATGAATCTTCCATGGCTGTCCAGGTCTGATATTTGTCGGCCTTCCCGTCTTTCTCTGCACTGCCGCCACCTCCACTGCCTTACCCCAATTCCCCGCCTCAAGAAGATTCGTTTCCGTGGCTTCGATGGGCAAATCGGATGTCGTGGACAGGTCGGGTCTCACCTGGATCCGGGGTCAGTTCACCAGATTGAGCGATTGCATTCCTATAACGATGCTATGCGCTAAGGCATTGCGGCCTTAAAGATCCCATGCATGTCTATCAACATACAGGTACAGAACATGGGCCATATGTCCAAGACTGGGATGAAGTCCCAAGTTTCACCTTCAGAGGTGTGTGAAAGACAGGCAAGAGAGACAGCTCCCCCTGACGTGATGAAAGCTATGAAAGCTGTAGCATACCTTGTGATTTCGGGGTATGCCATGCCTTCAGACCCTAGATTTAACCCAGGGGTATGCTCTGTAGGTCTTCCAGAGTTCTTAGCAGTGCCACGGTCGGCTGGGGATCATTCCCAATACTTCCCAATACCAAAAAGCC